CAATTTCAGATGGTCAGAGAGTTCTTGATATGTTCTGCTACAGTGGTGGTTTTGCTCTAAATGCTGCACGAGGGGGTGCTGTGAATGTCATTGGTACGAATAAAGTTTTACTGTATTCGGATGATTTATTTTGAAGTTAGAACCTTTCTTTATATAAGAACTTCATTGAAACTGGCCAGTTACTGAGTTAGGAATGGAGGCTTGCTTTTGTACCACTTTGGTTTTGGCCATCCTGTTCATAGCATGTCAATATACATATGGTATCAGTGATCAACTAATAACCACCATGAGGTGATGGAGTTAGCATTATAGTAGCATTATACTCATTTTAGGAGGCTACGAAAGCTGAGAATTTTTCATTTGAGATACATTAACTTCTCTGGAAAAAAAAATTCCAAGAGGGCATCTAGAATTGGATGCTATAAATTCATCTGGACAAGACATCTTGAGATTGCATGTTCAAAGCTAGATGATTTTCTAATTATTCCTGTATTGCATCAGGTGTCGATTCATCATTGCCTGCAGTTGAGCTAGCTAAAGAAAATATTGTCCTTAACAACATGGATCCAGGAAGAATAACATTTTTGAGAGAAGATGCAAGTGAGTTTATGAAGGGTGCTCTTTCTAGGAATGAAACATGGGATATTGTCATTTTAGATCCTCCAAAACTAGCTCCTCGAAAGAAGGTACTATCAGTTAAATGCATTTGTTTCATGATCAAAATCACTTTTCAGTAGAAATATGAGTGCATTGCTTGTTCCCCATCTATTACTTCTTCTTCCTCTGCCTGTCTGTAAGTGATTCTTTTGTGAATTTTTCTGCTTCTTATTGGGTCGTTATTGAATCCAGGCTTTACAAAACGCATCAGGCATGTATAGAAATCTAAATTCATTAGCAATGCAACTGACGAAGAGAGGTGGTCTTCTCATGACTTGTTCGTGTTCAGGAGCTATGACGCAAAGTGGGATGTTCTTGCGCCTTCTTCAGGCAAGTTGTACTCTGTTGGTGTGCAGTACCTGACTAGTGAAATTCTAAAGATTTCTTATTTTATAAAGATAACCACCTTCTCAAAATGTTTGACGCCATTAAATTCTCATCAGACTAAAATTGATAGGAAAAATGACATACTGACAGTGTAAGATGTCATATGTCATTAAATTATATGTAAAGAAAGGATCACTCATTGCATA